AACTGAAACAGAGGTCTGAGAAACCACACAGCCCTTTCAGCAGCCACAGTGTTTTAAAAAAAGTTAACACTGGGCCAGCCCAGGGCCTGCTGGCCAGGGAAATTGGATCCTATATGGCTAACTATGAGGTTCAAGTCCCATACCCAGAAGCTTGAATAATATGCCAGGCATGTGTGCATATGTGCCCCAAATCCTAAAAGGAGGGAGAATGGAGATGGGATTACAGTTTGACCATTCTCCATGAGGGATGTTTTCTTCCCTTCTCTCTCTGGTGAGTAAACATGCCCTCTAGCAAAACTTAAAAAACAAAAAGCAAAATAAGCTCAATATCTTTTAGGCATTTTGAGGTTTTGAAGGTCATACATTTCCTAATTTACAAATTTCCCTTAGGCCTATCTATTATCTACAAATCAGTCCATTCTAAATAGTGCTGTCTATAACAAAAGGCTCTAAAAACTCTCCAAACCCCGCAGAAGTCCTGTTAGTGCCCCTGGAGACCCCTTCCCTGTAGAGGTTCAGCAATCTCCTTTCAGGATGCCTTGAATCTCTGGACCACCCATGATGGCCATAAGCTGCCCAGTGGCTTCTAGTCCAAAAACTCATCCTCTTTGGCCCTCAACTATATACCTTCAGGGGCCTTTGAAGTCAAGCAGGCTCTCACCAGAAGCCTGTGACTTCCAGTATCCAGCAGTGCACTGTGCTTTGGGTCATGGAGGTGGCACCTACAGGCTCAGCACAACCACAGAAGCCCTCCTACCTAAGACAGAAGGGACATCTTCAGGATGAGGGCAGACCTGGGCCAGCTGTAGTACTCTGTTCCCTTGGTAGGAAGAAACACCTTCCTCTGTGCTTAGTTGCTGGCCGGATGCAATAGCCTTAGAGATCACCCCTCTCCAGGACCCACTGGTCCCAACTGGTGTTCTGAAAAATCCAAGTACACCAGAAAAGACATTCATGTCCCTCCCTTAGTAGGAACAACCTTGATAAGTGATGAGACTCAGCTGATCCGGGCTGTTGTCTTAGCCCTGGATGCCCTGGTCCACCAGTCAGCACATGCTCACAGACCCTTTGGACACTGCCAAAGATCTGGCTCTGTAGCCCATCAATGACATAAACATTGATATTTGACATACCCAAGTATCAAAGTCATACATGTCTCTACACATACTTATAAAACAGTCCTTACCAAGATACACCTTACCACTTTCACCTAGTCAGGCATCAGTGAGAGAAATCAAAGCACTTCATTTCTCAGAACACACAATGTTGGGCTCTTGACTATGTCTTTCAACAGAACTTTGACCTCAGTTATCAGCCTTAGAAAGCAGGCCTCCTAGAGCACTGTAATGGCTCACTCAAGTTCAAAATCAAGAATCAGACAGGCACATTTCAGTCATCAAACATCATGGTGAATAACACTAAGGAGTGTGACTCATGTTTGAGGGCTGATGGCTTTCAAGTCCCACTCTCTTCTCTTCCCCTTCTGTTCTTTATCAGGGCAACCAGAAGATGAAGCTCTTAGCACAGGCAGGGAAATTCAAACCACATAAACACTGGCTCAGGCCTGACAACCTGCCCACCAAGCCCACCCCTGAGGGCAAGCCCAAGTCCTTGCTCTCTCAAGGCATTTTCAGATCTGCCTTCTGGAAGCTTGCCCTGTGGAAGTGTCAGTCTCGACCTCCACACTCAATCTGGGGTAGAGGTTAATTCTGCTTGTCAGGCAACCACAGACACACTCACTTTCCTCTCATAATGTAGAAGCTCTGTGCGCTTTCACTCTTGAAGTTACACTAGAGATTACAATATGCATCCCTGGCTTACTGAAGTAGGCTGCTGATTGTTAGCATTTAATCTTCCCAGACAATTCAAGGATTTTAGAAATTTTCAGTTCCCCAAAACTTCTTCCTAATTTAAATGCAATGTCACACATTTTATATCTATGAAGTCCATAAACATTGTTATTGCTGCTTTCCGCATCAATATTTTAGATGTTACTCAGTTACTTTTTAGTCTTCCATTATGTCAATGCTCTCCAACAAGGCCATGTGCAGGTTTTGTTTACTCTGCTTAGGGCTGTATGCCTTCTAGAGTCCATGGATTATGTCCTTCATCTGTTCTGGAAAAATATCTATTATCCATTCAAATGCTTCTGGCCCCATTCATCCCTCCCCTACCCCTAGGACCGTAAGTAAACAAATAGTGGGATGTCCATGGTGGCTGCGAAGGCCTGTGGGCCACGTAATACAGTACACAGGCCACAACATCAGTCTTTTAATGCAGACCCTCAGGAACCCCAGGACTGACTGAACCATAATCTGAACTTCAATAAGATCTCCAAGTGAATTTGTAGGCCCACTAAAATCTGTTTCTTTTCCATTATCTTCCACATTTTCCAGTCTTGGTGTCCTTGTGGTTCATGCCACAACAGACAGCTCAATTTCTCTTCTACTCTACTAGTTCTCTTTTATTAATTAATCTGTTAATTTTTTTTCTTGATTCCCTCCCTCTCACCCCCATTAGTCTCACCTCCTTACACTGTCTCTAGTATCTACAGCTGTCCTCCCTACTAGTATACCTTCCAATCTTTCAGCTTCTGTCATAGAACGCAGACACTCAGTATATATTAAGTGAAGACATACAATGCCTGTATTTCATTGTCTGGTTTGCTTCGCTTAGCATTTAATCTTCCATATTTGTTCATTCTGTATCAAATGTCAGGGTCTTATTGTTACACAGCTTTAAGTTCTCTGCTGAAATACATCTCCCTGAGCATACCAACCACAGTGTTTTAATTAAAGTCTGTGTTTAGGGGCCAGCAGGTGGCAGAGTAGTTGGAGTGCTGGATTCCCACATGGCTTACCACCGTTTAAGTCTTAGGCCTGGTGGCTTACTTTCTTGCATTCCCTTTCTCTCTCTTTATCTGGTCAAATTAAAAATAGTAACAACAAATAAAATAAACAATTCTTTTAGAAAAACAAGTCTGTGCCTAGTAAGTGTATCTATCAAGTATTTGAAACCCTTGTGCCTCTTTTCATCTTTCAGCTGCTTATCTGCCAATTCTAATTCACACCATCTTATCTCCCCTGAGCCTAGCTTTAAGTGTGTGTGAACTGGGATCTTTGAAAACACACACAATGTGAGGCACAGGGTGATGACATCTCTCTCCAGAGCAGATTTTCATTTTCTCTTACCAGGTACAGGAGTGCTGAGCTGCAGCCTATGCCAGGGCTGACTTACCTTAGCCTCTTACCTTAGGTTGCAGCTCTTGCTAGTATCATCCAAAGCCTGAAGATTCATAGGGTCCTATACTCGGTGACCCTGAACCCCAGCTTTGGTCACTATGTTGTCAAAGTCTCTCAGCCTCTTGGCTACCTTGGAGTAAATGTCTCCAGAGCAAATACAGTCCTACTTTGATTTCTGCCATCTCCTGGGTCTTTGCCTAGGAACTGTTCACGATCTACAGTTCTCTGATGTTACTGGATTTCCTATGTGCGTGCACGTGTGTATGTATCTGTTTCCTTATTCCTTCTCTGATTGTCCTTCATGAACAGTGTGAATTCCATGGCTATCATTCCTGGAGAACCAGTTGTTTTTTCTTTATATGATATGTTCTCAATTTCTCTATAGAGATAGATAAATTTCGTTCTTTATTCATAATGGAGTGCAATACACTTGTGACAGCATAGAGCAGCACCCCCCACAGGGTCTGGGCATGCCACAATCCCCTTCCTCCAGTCCTCTCCCCATCAGAACCTGAGCACCGTGTGTGGCTGCTGCTTCAGGCAGACCAGGCTGGATGTGCGAACTGTAGTTGCCATGTGGGGCCTGGCTTCCTTTCAGCTGCACACTACCACTGCACCATGAAGCTGGCCTTTTGGATATATTCATTATACTTTTTCTAAAAATCTCTTTTTCTGGCTAGAGGGAGCATACACTCACCAGAGGAGGTTGGGGGGAGTGAGAAAGCACTCATACCGGGGGACAGTCATGCCACAATCCCTCCTTCTCCATTTCTCTCTCCCTTCAAGATTCTGGTTGTACACACACGTGCCCGGTGCATTTCTCAAGCCGTGGGAACTGCACAGCCAGGCATGTGGGATGTGCTGCCTTCACCACCAGATCACAGAGCTGGTCCTCTGAAGTCTTCGTAAAACGAATTACTAATGTTAAATCTGTTTCATTAAGTCTTACATTTTCCTTTGCAGAATTACTGGGCTGTCAAAAGTCATGATGTATTTTTTCTGTTTTTCTATGCAAAAATGCATCTTGACTTTTCCAACAACCCCATGGTTTTGTTTATATATTAAATTGTTCCTGGGTATATTTTCGTGTATTCACTTGAGAATACCAGCGTTCCCACACTAATCCCTACTTACCCCACTCCAACCCCTACTTGGGTGACAGTATCTCAAGTTGGGCACTAATTCCTTGATTTGTCATTTTAAATACCACCGTCATTGTGTTTCTCCCTGTTCAAATGCTCTCCAGTGCTTAAGAACCATCTCTACACTTAATGTTCTAGCTAATGAGGCCTTCCCTGTCTGGGCGAATGCTTACGACCTGTAGAGCATGCCTCAGTTTTTTCTGAGTTGGGCCTCAACAAGGACCTGAAAAGCAGGATTTTTTTTAAGAGAAAGGATGCTGTAGTCAGAAGGAACTGCTTGTAGAAAACAGATGATGAACAAAGGCCAGGAGTAAGGGAAGCAGGGGCATGTGAACCAAAACCCTAAGAAGTCCCTGGACCTCACCATGCAAAGAGGGAGAGGCTCGAGTCAGGGATGTGGAGACAGGCTGCAGCCGTGAACTAGGTAGAGCCAAAGGCCAGAACGAAGAGTCTGCACTCCCCTCTGAGGGCCTAGGGAACCATGGGAATCTGAGGACAATGACCAGGATCTGCCATGCAGAGAGCCTGGTTCCCAGCTCCATCTACCATGGTGGTCATGGCACTGGTATCCACAGATCCTGGGACCTGCAGAGGCCCCTGACAGCCAGTCACTTACCAGCAAAAAGGGGCCCTCGGGATGGTTGCAGGCCTCCAATGCAGACGAGAGTGTTGGTAGGCAGAAGGACGCACACTCCCACCCATTTTCCGCTTTCCACACTTTGATCAATCCCCGCTCATCCACAGTAACCACCAGCTGCAGCTGAGGGTAGGTCACCAGATTCACCAGGGCGGCAGGCTGCACAGGGCTTGACCAAATCTCCACACCCTGGGCAACAACAAAATAAACAGAACTTCTTACAAAGGGACCTGTTCATAAGCATACCTCTGTGCATCCCACCAGCATGCATTTCTTCAGTACCTACGCTACGGGCTCAACAGCACCCACCAGGGACACACAGGTGAAAAGGGCCTACTGTACTCCACACCCTAGGCACAGTACGGACAGCAGGAAAGACTGGTGCACCCTAGCTATGAGGATAATGCTTTAGCTGGAAGTAAACACTGAAGGCCAGATAGCTTCCCCAGGAGGACTAAGGCTGGACACATGGCACACACGGCAGATGATGTGTTTCAAGCAAACACTTTCTGTGGTTGACCAGGGCTCAGCTGAAGAAGGAAGGTGCAGGCTACACAGGGACGCCTCATGAATGTCTGTTCACAGGAGCGTGCACCACACAGTGCTCTCGGGCTACAGAACTCTCACACGTGCTATCTCACTCAACGTTCACAGCAGCTTGGTTTTATTAATAGACAAATTCAGACTCTAGATGTGAATAAATACAATGTGTGCTCTGTTAATGGCAGCTGCCCAGCTTAGACTACCTCCTCCCTCCTCTGGAGTATGCCCCTAGTGATACTGAGGGCTAGTGCTGGCCCAGGTCTGTCCCCAAACACTGTCCACTGATCCAGAGGAATACAACTGCCTGAGCTGAGCACACTCCTTGGTCTCTAATGGGGTCATGAAAATTGAAACAAAGGTAAAGAGCCTGGTGTCGCGGGGCCCACACCCACTGGAACTGGGCATTAGGGTAAAACACACTGACTGCTCTTCTGAGTTCCCAGGTCTTCCACAATTAGGTCTCTTCCCAATTTGGGGCCACAATGATCCTTCTCTTTTTCTTAAATCATGTTATATCAATTTTACAATGATTTCTATCTCTTTTTCCAATCATGATATCTTGGTATTCATCTATTCATCCAAGACGTGAACCGTGGGGTCTTGCTGCCTTAATCACCAAGTCCTGGTCCCAGTTCAAAAACTTTTAACAGGAAGCACCAACAAAGTTTAAAGTAATTAATCAAGTTATCCAGATACATTTTTTAAAGTTGTTTATTTATCCCATGAGCAAGTGAGGGAGTGAAAAAGAGAGATGCACACCCCTTACAGGTTCTTGACACCGCCACTCTCAGACAACCTTGGATCATGGGTGTGCACATGCTCTGTGCAGTCAGGGATTTCTCTGAACGTGAACCCAGAATCTTCCCACAGGGGTCAGCCTGTCAGAGTGCTGCATTCTACCTGTGTCAGCATGCAGCCCCCAGTTACCTCGACCTGGATACTACATCTACACATGGAGGTGACTAAAAGTTGTAATTATATAGACAGACCACCCATGAACCAGCACCTGACCCAAAGTGGAGAACCACAGTACTGAGTGGTTTCCAATCAAAGGCCAGCAATCCTGTGACAATGGTGTGAGGAACAGCACGACAGCTGTCCAGACAGACCACCCATGAACCAGCACCTGACCCAAAGTGGAGAACCACAGTACTGAGTGGTTTCCAATCAAAGGCCAGCAATCCTGACAATGGTGTGAGGAACAGCACAACAGCTGTGCTAACGCCATCCCAGCAGGCAGGTGGTAAAGCCCATCTCCCCAACACAGCACAGCAGGAAGGCAAGACAGTGTCACCAAGACAGTCAAATCAGAGCTTCAGACATGGGTCTGCCCCACATCTGCTACAGTATGACTAGGCACAGCGACTGGGCCTCCTGCAAGCTCGGATTTCTCAGTTGTAAAATGGGGCTCCCAGTTCTCACCTCAGAAGTTTTCTATAATTCAATGAGATCATAAAGACAAAAGGTCTAGCTCTGACCAAGGACAAAATTGAGATCCAATCTCATCCTCACTTTCCCTCTGGGGGTCCAGCTCACCTCATGCAAATCCCAGGCACGCACAGTACAGTCTGAAGACACAGTGCAAACCACGGACTTCTTCCCGCCATCAAACTGGTACTCACTAACTGAGATGTAAGACAACCCATGTATCTCTCCTGTAAGAGAACACAAACAGATGGCCCGGGACTTGAACCTTCAACCTGGTGAAAAGGTATACAGGAAAATCACTCTCTTTGTCTGTCTCAAGAGAACAATGGGCACTCAGTCAGAGAATAATGGAAATGGGAAAAAAGCAGGGGTCAGAGTAACAATTTGGTTGTCCTCCCAGAACTGTCCACTACCAGCAACCACGTAACCCTGAATTATGTTCTCTTAGTTTCTACTGCTTAGCAAATATAATGATCTCTTCCTTCCTGCCTTATTGCAAGAATCAAATGACATAAGACAAATGACAGAGAACCAACCCAGCAAGATATATACTCATCGAGTGGGGCTGGCCAAGTCATTGGCCGGAAAGCCAAATCTCAGGATATGTGACAGGGAGTGGGTATGCAATGATCTGAACGTAGCTACGACAGTCTCCACCTCGTACCTGTGTGTCCGGAAATGGCTCTGCAGATGAAGTCTTTCTCTGGTCGCCCAGACTCCATTCGGAACTCCAGCTCAGATCGACAAAGATAATACTGTCTCCATTTTTGTGTGCCCAGGACCACCTGGGAGGCTTTGCTGGAGGACCAGCGTCTCAGACACAACTGCCTGAAAAACAACCACAGATCCAGGCAGGATATAACAGCCATGGACTTTGGAGCCAACAGGCCTACCTTTGAATCCTGGCTTTGTCATTTACTAGCTGTGAAACCTTAGACAAGGCACTTTGCTTAACTAAGCCTCAACTTCCTTTCCTGTGAAATGAGGATAATGATAACACTGAATGGGTGTTCACCACAGATCAGGCATGAAATGCGTTTTATGTTTCTAGTAGATCTTCCTAACAACTCAGTGAAGTGAGTGCTCATCTCTATTCTACACACTAGAATCTAGGCACACAAAAAGGTTAAATAATTTATCCAAAGTTATACAACTGCGATTCAAGAATCTACATTTTTATGAAGTCTCCAATTCTTTTTGTTGAATTGACTATTTCTCTCTTCGATTCTGTCAGCCCTTCACTATTTTGTCGCTCTTTTGTAAGGGGCATATATGTTATTGACTGTTTTATTTTCTTGATGAAATGACCTCTTTGTCATTGTAAAACATCCTTCTAAAACTAGTCCCACAACATCATGCCTAAGTGTTGTGCATTGGGTGCTGGATCCCACATGGCCAACTGTAATTTGAATCCTGTCCCCAACAGCTTAAAAAACACACTGAGTATATGTGCTTGAGTGTCCAAAATCCTGATAAGAGAAATGGAGGAAATAGGACTGCAGCATGCCCATGCCCTACTAGGAGTGCTTTCTCTTTCTCTGGTGAGCACATACATCCTATGGCAATTAAACACACACACACACACACACACACAACAATCCTTGTCTCTAGTAACAATATTTATCTTCAAGTCCATTTTGTTTGATAAGAGTATAGCCATTTCAGTTTTGGTGTATCTTTTTCCATTCTATTTTCAACCTGTGTCTCTGAATCTGTCTCTTATAGACAGTATAAAGTTGGATCACTTTTTTTTTTAAAGAGAGATTTTTGTTATAGGGTGCACACACTCATCAGAGACAGAAAGTGAGAAATCAACCCCCGAGGAGATGACCAGGCCACAATCTCTTCTCCTCCATTCTCCTCTCAGGATCTTGGGAACACACGCACACACACCTGACATCAGGTTTAAGCCACTAGATCTGAGACTTGAACCACGGTAGATTACATGGGAGTCCAGCAACATAACCATTATACCATCTGCTGGTCCCTAAAGTTGGATCACTTTTAAAATCCACTGTCAGGGCCAGCAGGTGGCATGATGGTTAAAGGCGCTGGACTCCCACATGGACAACCGCAGTTCGAATCCCGGACCTGGTGGCTTGCTTTCTCACTTTACCTCACTCTCTGTCTCTCTCTGATCAAAAAACTGAAAAATAATAGTTAAATTTTAAAAAATCCACTGTCAATTTTAGCCTTTTTATCGGACTCTGTAACTCGTATACATTTAATGTAATTACTGGTAAGATGGGATATGCACATGTCATTTTGCTATTTAGAGTCTAGGTCTTATTACTTTTATCCTCTATTCCCTTTTATTGCCCTCTTTTGTAATAAATATTTTCTAGTATACTACTTTAAGTCTCTTGTCATTTCTTCTGCCATATATTTTGTTAGAGGACATGTGTGTTCATCAGTGAGAGAGAAAGATGAGAAAGCAGCCCCCACAAACAGGGTTTGGTCATGCCACAATTCTTTCTGTCTCCTTTTAGGATTTTGGACACAGATATGTATGTTCTTCAAGATGCCTGGTCTAGGACTCAAATCATGCAGTCAGCCATGTGGGAACCAATCAACATAAGCACCATGCAACAAGCTGACCCATTATATGTTTTTAGTTCCTTTTTCAGTGGTTGCCTTACAGATTATTATTTATATCTTAAATTATAAAAACCTAGTTTTGATTAAGACTGATTTTATTTCAACAGTATATAAAACCTTTGCTCCCACTTGCCTCCTTTGTGCTATTACTGACGAATTACATCTTTATACATTATGTGCCCATCAGCAGAGATTTTCACTTACGGTTTATACAGTTGTCTTTTAGGTCAAATGAAGGAGGGGGAGTTACAAGCCAAAGATACATGTATACTCCCTTTTACATAAAGTTGTATGTGTACCTTTACTGGTGATCTTTATTTCTTCACCTGGATTCAAGTTACTGTCTGGTGTTCTTTCATTTCCCTTCGGTATTTCTTGTAGGACAAGTTTACTAGCAACAAACTCTCTGAGGTTTTGTTAATCTAAGAATATGTGTTTCTCCTTCATTTTTTAAAATACATATTTCATTTTGTAACTGTTATCTTACATATAACAGTTGTACACATTTTAGGGCCTAATGTGTTTTTTCTTACAATTCCTTATCTACATTTAATTGTTGTACATTGTTATGGCATCTGACATGGTTTTTCAAAGCACACATGCAATGTGTAGTAATCAAATCAAGGATGTTACCATAAACATAATTTTCAATAAAGAACTTTTTATTGTTGTGTCTATTAAATGCTTTTTTCCTGAGCCCCTCCCACCCACCCTCTTCTTCATGTTTGAAGGACAGTATAGCTGGATATAGGATTCTTAGTGAGTATTTCTTTCAGCACTTTGAATGTCAGCCCATGGTTTTTGATGGGAAATCAGCTGTTAATTGCTTCTCTTCTGCTGCTTTCAAGATTCTCTGTCTTATGCTTCTGACAATTTGATTAAACAATGCAAGAAGACTTCAAACCTTCAGGAATTAAAGTATGAGTTATTTCAGTACAACCCTTCCCAAAATAAAAAATCCATGCATAGTTTTTTCATAATACATATTTTTCACAATATACATTTTCCATGTGCTTTTTAAAGATCCCTTGTATCTTAGTGTGGAAATCTCCGAGTTTACCTTACCTGTAGTCCATTGAGCGTCTACATGTTTTGGGTAATTGGAAAAGTCATGAAGCATTTTTACATAAAAAAATATGTCATGACTTTTCTGACAACCCAATATAATGCTTTTCATCAAATTAGAGACATTTTCAGTCATTATGTCTGAAAACAGTCTTTCTTCCTTCTTTTTTCTGTTATTCTGGAACTCCTATTACGTGATGCTGACATGCTTTATGATGTCCCACAGGTCCCCTAGACACTGCTCATATTTCTTCCTTCTTTATATTTATTCTACTGCACAAACTGGATAATTCCAAGCAACCGATGTTCGAAGTCAGATCTGTTTTTCTCCTCCCTCCTCTAATATGCTATTGAGCTCCACTACTCAACTTTTTATTACTTTTCAACTGCAGAATTCAGTTATTTTTCATTATTTCTATTTATGTATATATTGCTATAGAGCACATGTGCTTGCCAGAGATAGACAGAGAGAAAGTGAGAAAGCATTCCCTGTGGGGATGATCACACCATAATCCCTCCTCCTCCATCTCCTCTCTGGATTTTAAGCATGCATACACATACACCCAGGCTGTCTTCCAAACCACCAGGTCCAGGATTCAAACCACACAGTCAGCCATGTAGGATCCAGTCATCTTAACCACCACACCACCTGGCTGGCCCTCAAGTTTCTTTTCTGATATTCTTGATCATTAAGAAAGAGTCCTCATACTTCTCTGTGGTTCTCTACATCATGGTTATCTTCAGTTATTTTAACATACTTTAAATAGCTGACCTTAAACAAAAGCAATTATTTGCAATTTTACTTCTCATCAGAAAACTAATGCTTACTATTCTGAAGAAATGATGGGACTTAAATAATCATGAAGCATTTAAAAAGGTAACTTATACCATCTTCAACTGAAATTATGCAGTACAGATTAAAAATGTATGACATGGTGGGCCTGCTTGTGTCCTGGTAGTTAAAGCAACTTGATCCCACACAATCAACAATACTGTTCGAATCCCAGGCTCAGCACCTTGAAAAACATGACAGGCACCATGTGCATGCATGCCCAAAATCCTGAAAAGAAGGAGAATGGAGGAGAAGGGACTACAGCATGACCATGACCGATGGAAGATGCCTTCTCACTTTCTCTCTCTCTGTCTGTCTTTCTCCAGCAAGTGGGCATACCCTCTGGCATATTTAAAAAAAATATATGGCATGGGTGACTATTATTTACTGTGTCCATAAAAACTTCAATGGCACGATGGTTAAGGAGCTGAGTCCCACATGGCTGACTCTGTGATTTGAGTCCAAGCCCTGACAGCTTGAAAAACATAGTGAGTGCATGTGTACCCAGAATCCCAAAAGGAGAATGGAGAAGGCACTGTGGCATGTTCATCCCTTCTGGGGGAGATTTCTCACTTTTCCTTTCTCTCAGTCTTTCTCCAATGAGTGCCTGTGCTCTTTGGCAAAAGTAAAAAAAATAAAAATAAAAAAAATTTCAACGGGCCTGGAGAACTTTTAGAGATAGTACCACAACAGACACAGCATCAAGAGCCGGCAAAGCATGTGACCACAGGGGATGATATACTTGGAATGCTATTGTCTAAGCTTAAGAAATATAAACCCAGTATTTCTATAAGGATATACACATCAAGGATATAATAAAAAGGGAGACTGTATGTTAAAAAGTTCAACACCACTATGAAATAGTAATCAACTAAAACCCATGTGTGATCTGGCCTGCAGATAGCTCAACAATTTGCACAAGAAATTCCGGGGCATGTAGTGGTGACATGACACTATATGGAGGTTAGGTAATGTGCTGAAAAGAATTTTTCTGACTACTCAGAAAGAAATACAAAGAAATATACATTTCATTCAAATGAAAGACTCCTATCCTGGCTTATCAGCAAAAATGACAGGGTTCGGCAGTCTACCCAACTGAACATGTGAATATTGCTCTGTAAGGGCTTCTATAAATAGTCACACCAATCCATGAGTTAATTCATTTATTCCCACTGAAACAACTTCTTTGAGAAAGACATTTGGCAAGACATAATTTTGTCTACTTTATCTACAGAAAAATCAGTTTCTATAACTGATGTTATATCTAGGCTGTATTCTAAATTGTAAAGATAAAGATTGATTTCCATTAAAAGTTCTCTTCGGGAACCAGCAGTTAGCATAATGGCTATGTCACTGGACTCCCACGTAATCGACCGCAGTTCGCGTCTCGGACCCGGTGGCTTAAATCTCACGCCGGGCGCGTGTGCGTGCGTGCCCAAGACCCTGAGAGGAGAATGGAGGAGAAGGGATTGCGGCATGACCATCCCCCCTGGGGGGTGATTTCTCGCTTTCTGTCTCTATGTCTCTGTCTGTCTGGCGAGCGCACGCGCCCTATAGCAAAAAAATCCTCTCCAAAAAAAAAAAAAAGTTCTCTTCAAAACTGATTAAAGAGATTAATGTTTTTTCTGACTAATATTAGTAAGGAAACGTTAACAACAGGCAATGGGACAGTACTATATGATATCAAGTATTAAATATGGGAAGACTGGCAGTTCTGAATTCTCAAGTATTTCAAGAAATAACTAGCCTAAAAATAGAAACAGAGATTCTCACCATGTTTTGAAGAACCTTCAAACAGCTGTTTTCCCTCATGAGTGACTAAAATGAAACACTGCTCCTAGTTGACAGTCAAGGCTGTATTGTATTCAGCAAGAGACCTGACAGTCCATCCCCCCACCACTCCACCTTCAGCCTCCCATCTTCTGACAGTTGTATCTTAGTATGAAATAAGGGTCCAAAAGAGGAATAAAATTTAAAAATTAAATAGTTTAATGATCAACTTTTTTCATTTTGTAAGTTATTATTTTATATATTATTATACATGCTTTCATTGCCATGTTGTTATACATTTCTGCCCTTAATTTTATAATTCCACCTTATATCAATCTCTTATTCAATTAAAAAATCTCTTACATTTCAATATTCTAGATGAAGTCTTACTCCCTAGCCAGGGAGGCATTCCCTGCTGGTAGGTACGGTGGATAACCTTTGTTTATGCATTCAACAGACCTAGACACACAGAGAGGGCTCATAAGACATCCAGTGCCCCCATTTCTATTTTGCAAAAAACTCTGGCTCTTCTTTCACTCACCTCCACAGTTCCTTGGTCTTTGAAACCTCATTCCAGACCTAGAACAAGAAACAAAAGAACAGAGTATATGATCAGTCACCTAGGCTGCCAGGCTCTGTGGAGAAGACAAAGAGCTGGTCCTGTCACTCAAGAAAACATACCTTCAGGTATTAGAGGTATATCTGAACAATTAAATAAAAGCAATCAAATAACCCAGCCTTGGGAGCATATACTGAACTGCTGTGCTGGGAGTCACATGCCCAACCATAGGTTCAGATCCCAAGACAAGCTAGAAACACGCTAGGCGTGCACACACCCATGATCTTGATGAGCTAGAGGGCCAGGGAAAGATTTTTTTTTAAGAGGATCACAGCATGAAAACCATGTGGCGCCCGGCCTCCCCCACCCTGCTCCCCACCTCTCAAGACAAGTGTTTTCCCCATCTTGCATATGTATACCTGGCCTAAACTTAAAAAAAAAAGGGAAAAAGCAAAAGGATCAAATAATGAGTTAGAAAGAAGAGAATTACCAACTCAATGGGGGTGAAGGAAGGGGGCCAAAGGTGCATAGCAATGATTAATGATTAAGTCTCAAAGGATGACTATTTGCTCCCTAAGGGAATGGCTTAATTAGAACATGAGGTTCTGGTTGAAGAGGATGGAAAAGAAACTGGAAGTGGGTTTAGACCAGCTCCCGGAAATCATATGACTAAAATAGTAAGAAGCAATTTGGCAAATCTGAATAGGGGGATGGCAGGGTCAAACTTGTATTTTGAGATCACTGGCCGCTGTGAGAACGACTGGAAATAACAGCAGAAAAGCAGCCTCACAAGAAGGCTGCTGTTATGGAGTAAACTGAGGCACCGGCCAAAGGGATAGCCCAGAGATCCCCAGTTGGTGGAATGGGAACAGCCTTTCAGGGAAAAGCTCGATGCAGGGCCCATTCCCACGACTACTCTCAGCACCAGTATTTCAAAAAGCACACAGGGAACCACATGACGGGGATTAGAGTGCCAGACCTCTCCCTGCCTCTGGCCCAGACCTGGATCACAGAATTTCCTGGCCTCTCCAGCTATCTTGCCCTGGCCTCTAGAGCCTACGAATCTATTTATTTATTCATTCATTTGTTTTAAATTGACCAGAGAGAGACACGGAGAGAGAGAACAAGAGGGAAAGGGAGAAAGGAAGCCGCCAGGTCTAGGACTCGAACTGTGGTCGACCATATGGGAGTGTCCAGCACCTTAACCACCACACCACCTGCTGGTCCCAACCTACAAATCTTACTGGACAACTCTCTAGAGCCTTTGGTGGTCCAGCTCTTCAAAGGGGTTCCCCATTCCAGCAATACCGCTTTCTAGAGCCAGGTGGAAGGAATGATGATTCTCTCTGAGCCTGGGCTCCCACTCTGATGGACCTAACTCTTCTGGCTAGCTTAAGTGTTTCAGCCTTGGGCTGGCTCCGTGGTGTAGAGGCAATGCACTGCTCGAGAGGGAAGCTAGATCCCACATGGCAACTGCCATTGGAATCCCTGGCCTGGTCAACCTGAAACACACTGGGAAAGATCCAATTAGTGGGAGGGCTGGAGGAAGGGGACCACAGTGTGATCAGACAGTGTGGAGGGAGCTAATCTCTCTCTCTCTCTCACGTAAATATGTGCTCTTACCATGAATAAAGAAATTTCCTAGTCTTTAAAAGGTCTTTTTGACTAGTAAGAATGTAAAGTTTACATTTTACAGAATCAAACCATGCAAAATTTGTGCATTTTTCTTTTTTAGAAATCCTAGTTCAAAACCCAGCTGAGATCTGTTTCCCAGTAGAGAACTATACGATATGTAACACAACCTGCAATAGCTACCTTGGGGGATATCCTTCTGCTGGATCCTCTCCTTCTTCTAGAAGTTGGTTCTACCTAAGGGTGGGCAGTACCTCCCCTCAGACTCTACCCCTCAGTCACCCCTAGCCTTCTGCTGTGAGAACAGCCAGTGGTGTAGTCCCAGCCTGTGAATGACTCCATGGGTGCACTTCAGGCAACTGCCACATCGTACTCCATTTCCTTATTAGTAAATCAGGAAGGAAAACGCAATGCTTTACTGGCTACGTTTAAAATTACAATGATGGCATTTAAGTAGGGCCTATTTATTTGTGTTTTTGTAAAATGACATATTGGGACCAAAGGCAATGTATGCCAATAGGTCAACCATGTGGTTCAAGGTCTGGACTCAGTGGCTTGAAAATCATGCCAGGGAGCGCACACACCCTGTAACAAAAATCTCTCTTAAGAAAAAAAAAATAGGGCAGGCAGATGGCATAGTGGTTAAGGGTGCTGGACTCCGAAATGGCAAACAGTGGTTCGAGTCCCAGACCTGGTGGCTTGCTTTCTCACTTTCCCTCTCTCTGTCTCTCTGGAAATATTAAAATAATAACAAATAAAGTTACATAAAATAATTCTTTAAAAAAAAAATCATGTCAGATGCGTGTACGTGACCACCCAAAATCCAAAGAGGAGAACAGAAAAGGGAGTATGGTGTGGTCATCTCTCCTGGGGTGTGATCTCACTTTTTCTTTTTCTCTCTCTCTCCTGCTAGCCTCCCCCCCAAAAAAGACATAATGTGTTTTTAAAAATTCACTTTAACAAATATTTACTGAGGAGATGTTAAATACCAAGGCCTAAAGTGGGTGCTAAAGACAGTGAAGGAGAACACAAAATTCCCTCTTAGACAAAAGTCTAGCAAGGGGGAAAACAGTAAACGAGTTCACTATACAAATTACCACTTAATTACAACTGTTCTGAGTAGCTGGCAGGAAGTGTTCCGTGCCCCTGACACCGAGATTAACACGCCCCCCGGTATTTGGTGAACACAGCCACAAGGGTCGTGACATGGAGACTGGAGGGAGTGCGAGGGACACCGCTGAGGCGACAGAGGAAGAGCCAGGAGAACCGCGAGCGGGAAAGAGGATTACCTTGTCCACCTGCGCTGCGGAGAGCAGATCCCGAGCCTCCAGGAAAGAGAAGACGTGCAGCAGTTCGTGCGGACCCAGCCGCGCCGCCATCGCTCTGCCGCACCCACTGATGCCTCACGCCCTCCCCGTGTCCACCCGGCTTAGCTAAGCCCCGCCCAGGACTTCCCTAGCTTCCGCCCGCCTGCCGCGCCCCTCCTTCCCCCCGCCTCTGCTCCCGCCCGCTAAGCAAAGCCCCGCCCACCTGCCGCGCCCCTCCTTCTACCTGCCTCTGCTCCTGCCCTCTTGGCTAAGCCCTGCCCACCTGCCGAGCCCCTCCTTCTGCCCGTTTAGCTAAGCCATGCCCAGCCCGCCGTGCTCCGGGCTTCCGCTGGCTTAGCTAAGGCCCGCAGGTTCCCAGCGCTTGCGCACATGCAGTCTCTCAAGCTAGCTTGATAACCCTGTAAAAGGAGTCCCCTCCCTCCTGGTGGGTGGGCTGAGGCATCTCCGCGTTCAGACCCTCAGGTGCTTTCTCTCAATAAACTTTCCTTTTGGTGTCTCCTGAGTCTTGCTCCGACTGTGACAAAAGTCAAGCCCCTGGACTGGACTGTAACTTAAGGTCAAGACCAAGTTCAAGGTCTAGAACTTAATCAGGGTCATCTTCAAGATGAGAGTAAGAGGGAACCAGCAGTTAGCGTAATGACTATGTCGCTGGACTCGCACGTAGTCGACCCCGGTTCGCGTCCCGGACCCGGTGGCTTAAAACTCACGCCGGGCACGTGTCCAAGATCCTGAGAGGAGAATGGAGGAGAAGGGATTGCGGTATGACCATTCCCCCTGACCATCTGCCCTGGGGGGTGATTTCTCGCTGTCTCTGTCTCTCTCTGTCTGCCTGGCAAGCGCACGCGCCCTATAGCAAAAAAAAAAACCTCTTAAAAAAAAAAAAAAGATGAGAGTAAGATAAGAGACAAATTATAAAATCAGAGTTAGAGTGTCTGTTCAGGGTAAAGGTCAGGCTAAGAATCAAGGTAAAACGGACCAGGGCCAAGGTCAGTATGGTACAATCTTGAAGGCTGGGGTTGTATTCAAGATCAAATTCATGGTCACAGTGATAGTATGTGGATTAGGGTCTTGGTATGGGTCCAAATCAGGAATGATACATTAAAGGATTACAGATAAGGTGAATGTTAGGGTCACTTTATGGTCAAAGTCAAGTTCAGGGACAGGGTGGATTGGGGTCAGGGTGAGGAAGATTGAGAGTTAGATTCAGGTTGATAGTGAATGTCTGGTTCTGGGTAGGACCCAGGATCAGTTCTGGGTTCAAGGTGAGTATGACATAGATGTTCAGGATTAAGGTTATGTGAGATTCAGGGTCATGATCAATGTGATGATAATGGTTATCATCAGCTTCCAAGTCAGGGTGAGCATGAGGGTCATTGTCAAGGTCAAGGTCACTTTAAAATCAAGTTTATTAGTTTTATTGGTACCTTAACATATTACCAAAAACTTAGCAGCTTAAAATTACAAATACTTATCTTCTAGTTCGGTAGGTCAGACATCTGGTTTACCTCACTTGGCCAAAATCAAAATATCAACTGGGAGCCCCTTAGCTTGACATAGCTGTTAATTGTTGCTCAGAGGAAACCAGATACCTCATGGCCCACCTGGGTTGAACTCCTGTTTGTGGCATCTTGAAAAACAGAAGTATCTAGGATTCTGATGGGATAAAGAACTGGAGGATGATTGTGGTGATCACTCCTTTGGGGAAGCAGGGGGGTGTTTTTGTTTTTTTCTCTCTCTCCCACTTGTCCTCCCACAGTAATTTAAAAAAGGGAAAAACAAGGAAACAAAGTATCACCTGGGCTTTCCCCCTTGTTCACCAAGGTTGTTAGCACAATCCAGTTTCTTACTGTTTTAAGAAAGAATGGGACCAGCAGTTGGCGTAATGGCTATGTCACTGGACTCCCATGTAGTCGACCACGGTTCGTGTCCCGGACCCAGTGGCTTAAAACTCACGCCGGGCACATGTGAGTGCGTGCCCAAGATCCCAAGAGGAGAATGGAGGAGAAGGGATTGCAGCATGGTCATCCCCTCTGGGAGGTGATTTTTCAGTTTCCGTGTCTCTCTCTGTCTTTCTGGCAAGCACACGTGTCCTATAACAAAAATCTCTCCAAAAAAAAAGAAAGGTTTTCATTCATTGCAGGTTGTCAGCTGAGCCACTCCTGGCTTCCAGCATTCGTGGACTTATGGTCCCTACTCCACCTTCACAGCACCAATAGTGGGTCAAGTACAACCACCGCCATCTCCCTCACTGTAACCAGGACACGCTGAGTGTGATTAGACTACATTCCACCATATATTTCAGGATACTCTTCTATTTGCAAGGTCTGTACCCTTTAACACATCTCCAAAGTTCCATCTGCCATGTAAAGCAACAGTCATAGGGACATCTTCAAGGCCATTACTCTGCATACAGCTATGGGAGGTTGGGAAATGGCTCATGGTCAAGGCCAGGTTCAGGTGAGGGCAGGTCATAATTAAGATGATGGTAATCCCAGTCAGGTCGAGGGTCAGTCTAACAGTGAGCATCAATGTCAAGGTGAAGTTCAGTTTCAGGGGTGGGGCTGAGTTCAAAGTAAAATTCAAGGTCTCAACAGGTTCAAGGTGGGTTAACAGTGAAGGTTAAGCATCAGGTTCAGGCTCACTGTCAAGTTGATGTTAGATCAATCCAAGGTCATCTCAAAGTCAGAGTGAGGCTGAGGTCTGGGTTAAGGTGGTTGTCAGGGTCAGAGAGCGGGTGAGGTTCAGTTTCAGTGTACAAATTAACTTAAATTCAAGGTCAGAGTGGGTCAGGATAATCGCTGTCAGGGTGAGAATTCAGTTTAGACAGAGTTATGGGTCAAAGTCAGACTGAGGATACGGCACACACTCAAATGCTGAGTGTCAGACTCAGGGTCCTGATCAGTGAGAGGTCAGGATCAGAATTTGGCTCAGTGAAAAGTCCCACTGACAGACTAGGTTAAGTTCCAAGTCACCTGAGGTTAAAATCAGGGTGAGGGTCAATGTGAGAATCAGTTTCAGAGTAAGGTCAGTTTTAAGGTTCAGTTTAAGGTCTGGTGGAGGTAAGGGAAAGGTGTCAGTCTGACAAAGAAATGGGTGGAGAGGGTGCAGGTCAGGACTCAGGTGAAATCAGTTCACCTTACACTTAATCTGCATACCACCTGGCACCTTTAGGCCAGCCAGTCAGCAGACTCAGTGACAGGTACACAGCCTCCTGCCCTGCAGTCTCGCACACTACTGGTTATGCTACAGAGGCTGGGCCTACCTTGTATTATTTTGATCCTTTGAAATTTGTTATGACCGAGTTTATGGTAAACTTACTATTTTGTGAGTGCCTGAGAACATAGAGTTCTACATTAACCAACTGCTCACGACTGCCTGTTACCTACCCACTGACAATAAACTAAATTGCAGTCAGGCTTCTCTCCATGACTTGAACTCTGGCTCATCCTCACCTTTAAGCACTATGATGTAGCCACTCAAGAATCTGTTGTTCAAGGAAATAAACATTTCCCAAAACATCTGATTATGCTGTCTGCTCACCCCCCCAGTGCTGGTCCCCATTTCTGCTATTCCTGCTCACCCTAAGAAAGAAAAGCCCTTTCTGTTTGAGTTTGAGATCCTCACAGACCCTAAGAGCAGAGTGCTCTCCCTACTGCAACAGTCTTCTCATAGTCTTAAATCTGGATTATTTTTGTATAACCACAAGATCAATCTGTTCATCTTCTAGACCAAATTTCCTACATTCTGAATTGTCTTTTTTTTTTTTTTAAGAATTATTCATTGGGACCAGCAGTTAGCATAATGGCTATGTCGCTGGACTCCCACGTAGTCGACTGTGGTTCGAGTCCCCGACCCGGCGGCTTAAACTCACACCGGGCGCGTGTGCATGAGTGCCCAGGATCCCGAGAGGAGAATGGAGGAGAAAGGATTGCGGTGTGACCATCTCCCCTGGGGGGTGATTTCTCGCTTTCTGTCTGTCTCTCTCTGTCTGTCTGGTGAGCACACGTGCCCTATAGCAAAAACCTCTCCAATAATAAAAAAAAAAAATTATTCATTTATTTTAATTTGACCAAAGAGAGAGGGAAAGTGAGAAAGCAAGCCACAAGCCAAGCTACCAGGTCTGGAACTTGAACCATGGTTGGCCGTGTAGGTGTGTCCAGTGCCTTAAACACAATGCCACCTGCTGGTCCCCTATTTTTGTCTTCTTGTTTCTTGGAGAGCTATTGCTTTGGAAGAATTGTCTTTCTGATGTTTAGTTTTGTTACTGTTTGGTTTACATTCATATCTATTAAAAACTTAAGAGATTATTAGATCCACACAAATTCAGAAAGATTTGCCAATGAATTGGATCTTATCATTAGACCGTATTTATCCCTAATAATGCTCTTTGTTCTAAAATCTATATCTAACATTAAATAACTACTCTGTGCTTTAAAATCCACCATCTGATATCAAGTAACTGCTCTAGCTTTTTGGTTTGTGTGCATACCAACTATTTTTTATCCTTTTACTTGCAAACTTCAGGAATCTACATTTTAAGATTTCTCTTTTGTAAATAACACATTTTGCTTAATGCTTTTTTTTTTTCTGTTGTCATTGCCAGAGGGTGCAAATGGTCACCAGAGACAGAGAAAGCACTCCCTCAATGGGATATGGTCATGTCACAATCTTTTTCCCTCCATTTCTCTCCATCCTGTAGGATTTGAGGCAAGAATGCACACACGCCTGGCATGTTTCCCCAGCTGTTGGGCCTGGGATTCAAACCACAGTCAACATATAGAATCAGGCTCCCTTAACTGCTGGACTACATATCCAACCCGCCTTTTCCTCCAAGAATTATTTTATTTAATTATATTCATCATTATTATTTTTCTTTTGGAGAGATTTTTGCTATAGGGCATGCATACTCACCAGTGAGAGACAGACAGAAAGCAAGAAATCACCTCCCATGGAGAATGGCCATGCCACAATCCTTCTCTTCCATTCTTTCAGGATCTTGGGCACGCACACACGTGCCCAGCGTTGAGTTTCAAGTCACCCAGTCTGGGACTTGAACTATAGTCGACTATGTGGGAGTCCAGCGATGTAACCATTACATCCTCAGCTGGTCCCATCAAGCCTTTTTTAATGGTAACAATCTTTATCTCAGCTACCATATTTACTCTATTTACATTCAGATTTTGGTTATGTTGTTTAAAACTACCATCTTACTATGTGCTATATATTTGATGCAGAAAAAGTATGATGCAGGAAGTTGGGGTACATGGGCACAACATCCAATGCAGGAATAGCAGTGAACCCAATTCTTGTCTCACACTCATGAAGAATTAAGAGACCTGGACACAGAAAAGAGTCAAATAGAGAATTTATTAAGAGGGGAAAGATCAGAGTGCCCAGGCAGGGAGTGGGTCCCAGGAAACGGGTTGCCAATGAAAACGTGAGGTGTGGGGGTTTTTATCTGTGTCAGAGGGGCTTCATTCAGGCTTCTTGCTTTTATTTAGGCTTGTTCAGTCTCTGAGAAGCTGATTTTATAAGAGAGAAGCAGCTTGCAGAAAGTCTGGCTATCATATTGAGAAGAAATGCCAGCTCCTTGGTAAGGTCAGTGCTGCTCAAAAGGAACTTGCGGGGAGTGAGCGGCCTACAGGGAGTGTTCCTATAGATGGGGGAGTTGAGCTGTCCTGTGAAATTCTCGGTTCTTTAGGTCCAAGTGTGGAAGGCCGCACATTAGATCCTGCATGTGAGCAACTGTTCCTCCATTTTGTTCCCTTACCCTTACATGGCTGTCTGCTTCTGTAAACCTGCTTGCTCTTTCCATGAGAAAATAGCTTGTGCCAGCCATATGGGAAACCACACCAGGGCAACATGTTACTGTCTTTGCTAACTGGCCCAAAACCCTTTTGTTTCAACTGTTCCTTAACAATGTAACTATCGGGAACCAGCAGTTAGCGAAATGGCTATGTCGCTGGACTACCACGTAGTCAACCACAGTTCGCATCCCGGACCCAGTGGCTTAGAACTCACGCTGGGCACATGTGCATGCGTGCCCAAGATCCCGGGAGGAGAATGGAGAAGGGATTGCGGTGTGACCATCCCCCCTGGAGGGTGATTTCTCGCTTTCTGTCTCTCTCTGTCTGGCTGGTGAGCGCACGCGCCCTATAGCGGAAACCACTCAAAACAAACAAACAAACAAAAAAAAACAATGTAACTCAATCACCAGACCCCTGGCCCAAGCCATAGAAACCATTAAACAAAGGTCTAGAGTGCCCTCAGAAATAATTAACCTGCTTGATTCAGCTTCTGTAATGTACATGAAAACCCCCTGGTAACTGACCCACTATAAAAAGACTGCTCAAACTTCCGTAGGTCCAGGCCCCTAGCCTCAGGCTGTAGCCGCTAGCCAGCTAATAAAAACTCCCTTGAACTTTTGGTGGTCAGTCATTCTGTACTACTCTATAACGCAAGTCTCTAACATTAGAGACCTGCCCTGAGATGCAGAAAAATCATAAACACTGGTAAAGTAGGAAAAGAGAAGTTTTACTAGAAAAGTAAAGATCTGTAGTAGGAGGGACTATAACCCCATGCCTGAAAGGCATGTGGGTGGGCAGCTGCCAGAGGACAACTGCACGGGATACGGGGCTAGGTGCCATATTGATTCTAAGGCTTGCTAATGAGTATTTAGCAGGGGAAGGCCTGTCATGGTATCTGGCTTGTTTGGTTTCCTGGGCTTTTTCCTGCATCTCTCAGGTGAGGAATTTATCTAAACACGCATGCTGAGTGGTCTTTGAAAGAATGAACATCCGTACCTGGATGCCCAATTAGCTGACTGCCCCAGTGGGAATCCAGATGTCCCATTCCAAGTGGTGAATTCTGGGTGTATACCTGGGTTAGCAGAAGGAAGATAATAACCACGTGGTGCCCAGAGCCAGGGGGGAAGGGTGGAAGGCAGGCTGCAGAGGGTCTGGCTGCATTCCCTGATGGGCTGTGATTGACCAAGCAGGCTGTAAACAGCTCTGCTGTAAGCAGCTGTGTGTGAACAAGCAGTGGGAGCTCATACTCGATCTCTAGTGACAGTAAAAGCTTGACCAGAGTGACTCCATGTTATAAATTGGCTCTATCTTAATATATATGTGTGGCCATTTCCTACCACAGTGACTCTTGAGGGTCCCTGCCCTATTTACTACTCACTAGGTCTAATTTGCATCCCATATTTATAACTTCCTTGTATAAAGCTATTTATTATTCCATTTTTCCTGGCAGTTATGGACGTTATATACCCTTCATCCTAACCTTGTGATCACCCTGGAAATTACCAGCCATCCTGGACATGAGAGTGCAGGGGTGATACAGTCTGTGTCTGGCGAGCCCGCCACCAGGAATACCCAGGTTGTGCTCTGCTGTCTGTGCTGCCTATTTAGTTCTTACCTCCTACGCGCCTGGTTATCACTGCACAGTGTACACCGTCTGAAAGGTCTCTGCAGAAGGCCCAGCCTCTGGGGCCCACCCAGGAATGAACTGGACCATGTGCCTGGAAGCCCCAAGTCCCTGGCCTGGCTGGTCTGAGAACATGCCAGGGGCACATGCGCACGCCCTGGATCCTGACAGGCTGGAGACTGGAGAAAGGGGATCATGGCTGAGCCCTGTGGAGGGTGTTCTATCACACATGCGCTCTATCATGGGTTAAAGAAAGAAAGAAAAAATCATTTATGGCATCAATTGACAATCACCAAATGAGCTTTTCCTCAGTTGACCATATCTTAAACAGTTTCCACACACATTAAGTCTAGGTCAGGCTCCCATCTGTGGAGAGGCGAGAGGAGAAATGAGGCAAGCTCAGCTGGGCAGTCTGCAGCTGTGGCTAGAGAAATAGAGAAGCTGGACCATGAAAACAGCAAACTTCCCCGAAAGCAGCACCTGGGGTTGCATGTCCCGTCTTCCCTGTGTGTGGAGGCTGGCGGCTGTGGCAGTGTCAGTCACCTCCACAGCCTCGGTGCTCAGTTCACCCACATGAAGCATGAACCACATTTAAGAACGAGGGAGCACGGTCTCTCTAGTCTGTCCACTTTTATCCACCCTTGAACCGACATCCTGCTGTCAGAATTATTGTACAGCCTCACAGGAAGTTGAGGGTGAGTCTTTTCACAAGTCCCTCTCCTGCTTCTGGTTCTGCTGCCTCCTCTTGGCCCTCTACCCCGCCACATTCCCATATAGCTTTAGAATCATCTTATAAATGATAATGAAATAAGAAAAAACGGCCAGTTGGGACTGGACTGGGACCTACTGGGTTAATGAACCAGTTTCCTCCTGTACAGCTGCTCTGGCGCACCCCACCACGCTGCAAACCCGTGAGTGGAGGGCCTCCCGCTGGATACAGCCTGAAGCCACCTTGGGCCCTGAGTTCTGTCCCCGTCGCTTCCACATGAGCACTCAGAAGAAGCAACAGGAAACTCCAGGCACAGAGGCTGCGAATGGAGCCACCTTCCTGGCGATCCCCCAGGCCCAGCTAGGGCGGTACGTGTGAAAAGGTGCCACTGCAGTGACTGAAAGAGGGGAGGCCCAGGGTGGGCTCACGGCCCAGCCTGAAATGGCCAAGCGTGGTGGTATGTGCCCCTGGTTCCAGCTAACTGGGAGACAGGAGCAGGAGGACAAGAACGTGGTACCCCTGCCAAAAACAACTGTCTTCCTCTCTACTGCTCACACTCATAAAAAAATAAAATAAATAAATAAATAACACTAGGGACCAGCAGGTGGCGCTGTGGTAAAGGCACTGAACGCTCCCACATGGCCGACCACGGTCTGAGTCCCGGACCTGGTAGCTTGCTTTCTCACTTTGCCTGTGTGTGTGTGTGTGTGTGTGTGTGCACACGCGCCTCTCTCTCTCTGTGCCTCTCTCTGATCAAATTAAAATAAATGAACGAATAAACAAAATTAAGTAAATCTTCTAAAAAATAAATTAAAAATAATAAAAAAAGTCAAGGGTCAGGAGAAGATACCATCTCAGCCACTCCCAGAGACAGGAGCAGAGGAACAGACACAGACCAAGTCACTCAGGCTCTCCTGATAACTCTCAACACTGCACTGCAGCATTCGACATTTCTGAGAGCAAAAACCAACCAACCTTCCTCCCCCCTTGAGGCTTCCACTTGAGAGCATCTCACTTGTCACACCTCCCAGAGACAGTTTTCGCAGGACCCTGAGAGCCAGCACCATGGCAAGAGGCCTATGTGGCGTTCCCAGAGCTCAGGCTCTCGATGGTCACGTCGGCAGCACACAGAGGCCAAAGGAGCACAGGCCACGGTATCCTCCTCTGCCAGGCTGGACGTTCGCACCACCTTGGCTCTGGAGCAAAACCTCTGCCTCCTCGAGTCCAGTCCTTGAGAGGCAAGGGAGCAGACACAGTGGAGCAGGGCAAGACACTGAGCAGGCCCAGTGTAGCTGTGGGGAAGGCCTCAGCAGATCGAGCCAGGTGGGTCAGAGGCATGAGCAGCCCCATGGTCCTGGACATGAGAACGGGACAGCATCTCACCCCTCCGGGATAAAGGGCCGAATCCACTCTGGGTTCAAGAGTGACTCTTCAAGAGGCCGATCCACATGGAAGTCATGGACATGAGGAGGGCCCGGGTGGGCCTTGGGGGCAGGTCCCCCAGGGCGCTGGGGAATTGGTAGTTCGGATGGGTGGGCAGGCAAGGGTGCCGTGAAGAAGTACTGATGTAGAAGGGCCTGGAAGGGCAAGAAAGGGACAGAAGGAAACCCATCACCTCCCTGTCCCCAGCCTCGGATCACCTCTGCCCTTCAGAGTACAGCTGCTCCAAGGGCCCATCAGAGCACACCTGTTCTGCTCCGGCCCCCCACCCAGCACAGCCTGCGAAGTTGCTGATGGGGTTACGTGGCTCCAAAGAGCACAGCACCTGGGGGTGGGGGGCTGAGGGAGCAGAGCTCACAGCTTCGCACCCTACCTGGGAGGCCGCAATGCGCTGGCGAGGTGGGTAGAGGAGGAACTGAGCCAGCAGGTCCAGGGCCTGAGGAGGGGCGTCGGGTAGCACCTCCTCCAGGGGCATGGGCGCCTGCTCCTTGAAGGAGATCTTGTTGTAGTCGGGAAGCTCGGTGATCTCCTGGGCGACGAGAAGGGGAAGGGGCACGTGAGCTGCATCGCCCTCATCCTGTCCCTGTCCCTTATGACCCTCACCATCACCATTCCCTCATGCACTCCTCCATTCCTTCAAACATCCCCTTGCCCTCTTGCTGAGACAATGCACATGTGTGTGCCAAGTGGGGAGGGCAGAGGATGGGATCAGGCCTCTGCCTTCAATGTGGCAGGATGGAGGGAACTGAGTTGGGCCAGTCCCTGTGGGCTAAGGAAGGGCTGGGACCAGAGCAAGAAGAGGCAAAGGGAGCAGTCATGGGCCATCACTCCCCTCCCACCAGGATCCCCCACAAACCGGCCAGACTTGAGGGCTGGGGGTGCCCAAGACGCGAAGCACACAGCAAAGCTGCTCGATGTCATTCTCGCCTGGGAAAAGGGGTGATCCGTTCAACAGTTCTCCCATGATGCAGCCCACGGCCCTGTGGATAAGAACCCCAAGCAGCTCAGAGATCTCTACCAAGGGACAGACCTACCCTCTCCACTCCAACACCTCACACCAGGGCCAAGGCCTCCACAAGCCAGTCCAGAGGCTTCATGTTCAGGGGTACAGACACCTGAACACTCAAAAGCCCTCAGTCCCAGAACACAGGGTAACCCCATTTGGGAGCCTCTCATTCTAGGACCTGCACCTACCCCTGCACTTTCTGGGGAAGACATGCAAATCAGCCCCTAAAGTGCAGGCCCCTGGGTGCACAGTACGCCCTCCCACAGAGGCCTGGGACGCAGGCCTGCAACCAGTCGTCAGATATACCACCCTGCTCTTTAACCTCCCACACGCCGCTCAGACAGGCCCCACCTCGAGCCTGACCCGCTCCTACCTCAAACACTTCATGGTGAGGAATACCAACCCCAAACTGCTCGGAATACCCAACCAGGGAGAAAACCCCAAAGCAACTGAGAGCTCAGCTGGCGAAAAGCCCACCATGCAGCGTAGTGCTCTGGAGCCCCAGACCTCGCTACTCCTGCCTGCCCACGAGTCTCACCACAGGTCGACGCCCTGGTCATACTGGCGGGCACCGTACAGGAGCTCGGGGGCTCGGTACCACCTGCAAAGAAGAGGGCTGGGGGTCATGGCCAGGCTACTGGTCTGACAGGAGGCCACTCAGGAGGTTGCCAGCCCCACACTGGACCCCCGGCAGTGTCTGCACAAAAGACACAGAAGCGCCTCTTCCCTGTGAGAGCCGGAGGGTGACTGAGCCCTCTTACCTGGTGGCTACCTGGTGTGTGTAGAGGCGGCTGCCATCGGGGGAGAAGACCCGGGCCAGGCCGAAGTCTGCTATCTTCAGCTGGCCTGAGGCGCTGATGAGCAGGTTGGCCGGTTTCAGGTCCTGGGGTACCAAAGGACCCATTAGTTCCTCCCTAACCCCACAGGACCTTGGGATAATGCGCACGTCGGCCCAGCCCCGACCCCTCCAAGGCCACACCACAGCTGCTTACCTGAAGGCCCCTGAGACCTGCACCTCCTCCCCTGTGACCACCCCCATGGGGACTGGGACTGACCCGGTGCACGATGTTGCTGGCATGGCAGAAGGCAACGCCCTTGAGCAGCATCTGCAGGTAGCTCTTGACCTGTGCTTGGGCCAGTGGCCTCCGGGCACGGCGCACCACCTCAGCCAGATCTGACAGCATGAACTCGAAGGCCAGCACGAAGCCTGCACCGTGTGGGAACACCGCCTTCAGCTGCACCACCTGCACGTGGGACAGCCTGTCAGCCCGTCTGCGACCAGCAGCCTGCATCCTGACACAGGGCCAGGCAAGCAGAGAAGGTGACACGGGCCCTGAGTTCAGAACCAGGGAGCTTAGTGCTCACATCCCTCTCCTCTCCCCACACAAGGCTGGTCCCTGCTCTAACTCTCCATTAACGCTCAGAGAAAGAGCAGGACGTGGCATCACATCCCCACACACAGCCCGCCTGCTTGAAAATCACGTGAATGGACGTGTGTGCATACGCGCACACACACATGAGCAGATGTCCTCCTGTTTCCTTAAAAGCCATTAAATTCCAGCACCAAAGTAAGGGCACCAGGGCAGCTGCAGACACACCAGACACAGAGGCCACCAGTGTCAGAGAGGCACAGGGACAAGGTCTCCAAGGAGCTCACAGCACAGGGAGCCCACGTGTAACAAACACGCAATCAGGACGTGGTCAGGTCTGGAAAGTACAGAGGGTGGCGTGGACTGGAATGCGTGGAGACGGGTATCTTACTAAAATGAGGCGGGGTCGGAGAAGGGCTTAGGCAGAGCCGGGAAGCAGCTCTGGGTAGGAGGGACAGCAAGGGCAAGGCTCTGAGGACAGCACAGGAGGCAAAGGGACGCAAGGATGTGAGGCCACTTAGAGAGGATGCGTGAGCTGTGCTGTGTTCCCAGAGCCGAGGTAGGTTCTGCTCACAGGAGATACCTAAGCAGCTGCTGAGTGGTGCATAGGCAGGAGCTGGCTGAACGCAGGCTCGTGGTGACAGAGCTCTAAGCATGGAGGAGGTCTGGGATGCTTTAAGCAGCAGGGAGAGTGATGTGATTGATTTGTGTGTGTGTGTGTGTGTGTGTGTGCACGCACGTGCGTGTTTGTGTTGTTCATATCATGAGTGAAAATATACATATACCTTGGAAATAAACCTATCTTCTTTTTTTTTAAATGTGTTTTTGCCATAGGGTGTGTGTACTTACTGGAGAGACAGAGAGAGACAGAGACAGGGAAAGTAAGAAATCACCCTCCGGGGAGATAGCCACACCCACAATCTCTTCTCCACTCTCTTCTGGGATTTTGGGCATACACACACAAACCTAGCATGATTTGCAA